CAAAATGTATAGTTTTGTTTTTTAAGGAGATTTTAACTTAATTCTTAGTGAATATCTGTGACCTTGCTCGTTCACGAAGCCCGCTATAGAAAGCAGAGTATTAAATACACTTGACATTGGCGAAATCTAAAAGGAAACGCCATAAACCTAAGAGATACACAGATAAGTAGATTTTATGACCTGGTAACTGAGACCTTTAAGTCATGTCTTATTTTAATGGATATTCTTAATTTTATGAAAAATGATATTATGGAGTGAAATGAAATGAAAATGATTAATTTGAGACATGAATCAACTGGGATGAAATTAAATGAGATGATATGAGATGAAATCTAATCTCAGTAAAATGGTGGTCATTTACTAAGATTTTTTCAGTGGACTTTTTGGAGGATCACGAGAAGTTACGTCCAGCGGCTTTGTTTCATTTTCCCACATTTGTGCACTTTCACAGATATTAAACGGTTAATAAACCACCATTATTACACATTTAAACCCGAAGAAACACTAAATAGACAAAATAAAACAAATCACACAACTTCACTCATCGCGTTCCCGCCAAAAAGTCCACATAGGTACTTTAAAACTGCCAGCCATAGATTATCCACTAATATAAAACACTCTGGCAACCCTCACTCACAAAATGTCCGACGGCTGCCTAAAAGACGATGTCAGCGAGCAGCGTTGTAAAAGGTTGAAAATTGACAATGAAAACGGCAACAATCTAAATGACAATCAGTTAGAATTGAAAGACTTTGTTTTGGAGAAAATATTGAACAATAACACTAACAGGAAAACAGCTTGTGTGGTTGGAAAATTCAAAGACAAAAGTGGCGTGGCGCTAATCCTATTCGAAAAAAATGCTTTCAAGGAAAATGACCTAAGTGAAGAGGGTTATTTCTCCAAAGAAACTCAGCTCAAAACGTTTTTCGAGAACGATATTTACGGAAACTTCGAGTGTTTCCCGCCTTCAACTATAAACGGTAACTTTTACTTTATATTCCAAGGTTTTTGACATTTAAATCATCGTGTTGATTTCCGAGAATAATATCGTGATTTAGTTTTGCGTGCGTCATTTTCTTTGTTTGTGTAATCCTTTATTAAATCCTAGTGGCTTAAATTAAACAAATAACAAGAAAAGTCTATTTATTCGAGAAATTTTACGACCCATATGTTACTTTAGGCAAGTATATTTTTAAAACTAATAAAATTGGTCTTACCTGTTTAAGTATTAGCTTGTAGTATCATCAATTTTTTATTAAATTAATTATAAATCTTATTATCTTTCGAGTTAAGATAGTTAATTGGAAATTTAAAAGACCATTTTATTGTAAAGCTTAAAATGATTAAATTGATTAAAAAGTAGCATTTTATTACTGTACTTATAGACACGACACGCCTGATGTTGAAGGGTCACCTTTGCTCATAGGCGTCATCAATGCCTGAGATAGAATTAAGTGTGGGTCTTTTGAAATGAATCAATACGATTTTCTGTTTAAGTATGAGAATAGTACAAGAATATCTGTGAGCAGAAATGCCCTTTCATTTTTAAATGTATATGTCATGTTGTTCCTTATCCATGGCAGCAATAGCTAACCTGCATAACACTCACAGCTATGATTTAGTCTTTTAGTACACCACAACTGTCCTATTGACACATTCAGAACAGAACGTCTAAAATTCTGTTTTATGCCACTTCTATAGCAGATGGGATGGTATTTGCACCAACACAACACATGACTATTACTGATAATGAATGTAATAAACTTGTGATTTTTCTTACACTATAATGAATACCCAAAAACATTTTATTTGTAATTAAGTGCCTAATCAAAAACAGGAAATAGTTAAGGTACCTAAGGTAGTTAAGATACCAAATAGAAAAGTGCCAACCTGTAAAATGCTGTAAAATGACCACGAGGGATTCTTGTCTTAATTTTTGTTTGTTACTCCCGAAATTGGCATACAAACGTTTTGAGAAGTAAATTTTATGTTAAAATTATTACCTGAACTTCTATTATAGAAAAAAATCTAGTTCAAAACAACAATTTCACATTATAAGCAAATTTGTTAATGTATTGTAGGTGTGAAAACTACAATAATCTACCCAGCCACTGATAAGCATATTGCGAAATTTAGCCAGCAAGAAGTTCATATTGTGCTGGAGACTCCAGAGTTATATAAAGAACTGACATTGCCTCATCTAGAGAAAGAACAGTTCAATTTGCAGGTATGACTTTGATAATAATTCTTTGAATAAAGAAATTAAGTTGATCATTACATAGTTCATCAGTTACATTGTATACTTCTGTGACAGTTTTTTTTCATTTATAACTAGAGAAACAATAGAATCTATAATTAATTATTCAAAAGGCAAAGTGGCATAAAAAGTTTTAATATCTGCAGAATATTAATACACTAGAATCCGGATATAACGACCTTCAAGGGACCGGCGAAACTATGTCGTACTAACCGGATGACGTACAAAACAGGCGTACGGCAGGATTATTTCTTAAGTACATATGATAAGTAGATATGTTTATCCAACTTATGGAGCGTGTAAAATTTTGCATGTCTAACTGTATAGCGAAAAATTGCTTTCTCTTGTAGCAGAGGTACATTCACGGGTATTCCCCAGTCGTGCTGAAGCTTGAACCACTGTAACAATGCCTTATCCACCGACTCATGAGTTACAAGTTTGTATTTTAAAACATTGGCATTAAACAGCGGCTTGATCTTATCTTTATTCTTCGTCATTGTTGATATTGAAGAATGAGATACGCCAAACTCCTTTGCGAGGGTTGCATTTGATTCACCGGCTTCTAATCGGTGCAATATTGCACGTTTTTTCTTCAATTGTAAAACAATTTCGCTTCATAGAACTCATTTTGTCGAGCTTTAAGAACTTGTCATAACAAGTGACAAGCACTAACTGTGACCTGTGATTCACGCGCTAATAAAGGGGGCGGGGTGAAGTTGGGGCGCCGACGTATTGGTAGGTTATGTAAACAAAACATTGTGCGTCGCTTTAACCGGACGTATCATCATAATATTCATAATTAAGGGTCGCTATAAGCAGTTGGTCGCTTAAAACGGAGTCGCACTAAACGGTTATATTTTCTCAGTACCTAACTATGAAACCTAACTTGAGTAATCATTATCGTCGTTAAAAGCGGTTAGTCGTTTTAAGCGAAGTCGTTGTAAATGAATTCTACTGTATTTGTCTGTCATCTGGCTGGTGGCCACTGTTTCAACTATTTAATTCTGTTTTTTTTTTTTTAAATAAAGAAATTTGGCTTTAACACCTATGGCATTGATTTTGCCAATGTCACAGTATGCACAAATATGACAGGTGCTTATAGAGAAAAAAAATAAATTACAAATAAATATGATTAGTTTTTCCATATGCGAATCTGATTTTAAGAACAGCACAAACAAATATGTTAGACTAACTACTTTAAAGATAAATATTATTAGCAAATAGAAATTAACACAGAATATTTACATGTTTAGAATAGACTAAAGTTAATAGTAAATTCATATTTATAGGCCCGGGGATGTCTTTTGGAAGGATATCTAATTCTGAGTTAGTGGTGAATTTGAAATGCTCTAAATGTAAATAGATCAGTTAATTTAAATAATTTTGTTGTATAATTACAGTGGGTGTACAACATTCTAGAAGGTAAAAGCGAGCAAGATAGAATTGTACATGACAATAAAAGTGAAAAGGAAGGATTTGTGCTCCTCCCCGATCTGAAGTGGGACGGTCTTACCAAAGAGACATTGTATTTATTGGCTATTGTCAGACAAAGAGACATAAAAAGCCTTAGAGATTTGGACGAGCAGCATTTACCATTGTTAAAGAGGATTAGAGACGAGGGAAAGGTAATATCAGTTCACCTGAGTACTTATTTCATAATTTGTATTTTCCTACTTATAATTTTGTTTTTTTTTTATTGCTTAGANAAGTGGGACGGTCTTACCAAAGAGACATTGTATTTATTGGCTATTGTCAGACAAAGAGACATAAAAAGCCTTAGAGATTTGGACGAGCAGCATTTACCATTGTTAAAGAGGATTAGAGACGAGGGAAAGGTAATATCAGTTCACCTGAGTACTTATTTCATAATTTGTATTTTCCTACTTATAATTTTGTTTTTTTTTTTATTGCTTAGATGGGTGGACAAGCTCACAGCCAACCTGGTGTTAAGTGGTTACTGGAGCCCATAGACATCTACAACGTAAATGCGCCACCCACCTTGAGATATAAGTTCTAAGGTCTCAAGTAAGTTACATTTGAAATTATTGTTGACTTTGTATAGTAGTACATGCCCAGTCTCAAACCTAATACGTCTCGTAAGATAGGCACAGAACAGATAAATTATATTGTTAATTTTTTTATTCAATTGCATAGAAGTTGCTTTTTTCAAAGATTTTTATAAAACTAGTGGTTCCCTGGTAGTCCAAATTTATAAGTTTGTACACTATTATGGTTCTATTGTCAAACACTATTATATTTCTATAATCACAGATTTTGCCAAGACTACACTATAGATAAATAATATTATAGATAATAATGTATTCTCAATATGACCACATACTATAGCAATAAGAAAAGTTTGACAATAAACAAATAGTATGCATGCGTGCGTGCGTCAAATACATGGTATGTAGTGTGTGTAATGTTTTTTTTATTGATTTAATGTATTTTTAATGCACAATTTAAAAAAAAATTCGCTTTCTGCATTCCGTCTCTATATTCTCTATAAGTGTGGAAAATTTCATACTCCTCCATCTGCGCAATTTTCGTAAAAAGGGGTACAAAATTTTTATTATTAGTATTAATATATAGATATTATATGATTTTATTTCAGAAAACCATTTTAGAAAAATATCAGGTGCCTGGAAGTCAATTGCGTATATATCTGCATTACCAGCCTTCTTTCTACCATCTGCATATCCATTTCACTTATCTACGCCACGAGGCCCCTGGAATCTATGCAGAGAAATCACATCTACTCGACACCGTCATTGACAACATTACAATGATGCCCGACTATTATAAGAAAGCCACATTACCATTCACCATAAGAGAAATGGATAGTATTTTTAATATATATGAAACAAATGGACAAGTCAAACGCATACAAAACGCTAATCTAATTGTTAAGTAGATCATTTTTATAGACTAATTATTAAGTGAAAATGTTGATTGACAACGTTTTTATGGAGCTACGCTCGCGTTTGCGTAGCTGCAACGTTTACATAACGACCGGTGTTGATTTTACTAAAGAAAATTGCAATTTGAAAATTAGCATACAATCCGATTGCATTGTGTTAAATTGTTATATTGAAGATTTTGGTAGCAAACGGAGAGATAGTCTTTCTTCAATCGAGAGTTTATCAGATTCATATGATGAAACAGACGAAGAGCTCGATGCGTCCACTTATATACCGATATCAGAATTTTGTCATATAATTCCCAATTCAATGTCATGTTTGAGAATAGACAAAAACACAGTTTCCTTCAGAATTCTGACCGAACCAAAGAATGGTGGAAATTTTTATACAGAATTACTAACCACTGGAAAACCTGAAAATTCTGTGAAGAAACAGAATCTAAAAATCAATATAAAAATCAGTGAAGAATTGAAAATTGTTTGCTCAAACTGTTCAAATGTTTTATCTGATGGATGTGTCAAATTCGACAGGATTTTAGAATTGCCTTCAGCTAATTTGGACATGACAGAATGGTTCTGTCATGGACACAGCCATGGACACGGCCATGGAAATGAGGCAGATGTAGTTATAAAACAAAATAAATTAGATTTCCTATATCGATTAACATATTTCGTTATTGATCGATCAATCTTATCAGAGAAATCGAACAAATTTAATTCTAAAAGGGAGGTATACCATTGCAGCCGCTGTTTGGCTTGGCTCGGTCTCAAAATCAAAGACACTGTCAGACTTTACAATTCTGAAGTTAAAGTACATAACAATGAAAAAGAAGTACATATATTTTCTTACGAAAACCAACCTGACAACGTACATGTAAATGATTTTATACAAACAATAGAAAGTATAACTGAAGATTTTAAAATTGGCTTCCAATATGCAGTGATGTGTAAAATTGTATTAGAATGCACAATATCAGCGGCTAAAAAGCAATATCTCTTAATCTGGATAATGGATAAAGAATTACAAGTATTGAAGAACAAAGAAAACGTTACTAACAATAAAATTGAATTGAAATCTAGTTTTGTTACGAAAATACTTTACAAGATTGAGTTGGCATTGAATGAGGAGGTGGAAAATTGGTTAACGGACCCAGTTGTGGTTAATACGGAGATCTCTAAGAACATGTTCAGTGAAGGCATCGAACATTTGCAAAAAATGGCATCGAAAGTTCCAGAATCGTTCCGTAACTCCAACGGTTTTCATGTCAGTTACTTAAAAATTTAAACGGCATTAAATTGGGAATTCGAAATTATTGATTTTTAATTACTACCCTCATTTATTTAAATAGTAAGAACATTGCTCCAACAGAGAGAGAATAAATACGCCCACTGATTTAGCTAATAGTCTATTTATTTCAGGACAATCCATCATTTATGATGATAAAATACATATGATAATTATAATCAGATTCGATAATGATTACTTATCAAAAATCTTCAATCAAGAAACTAAAAAAAAAACAATATCAAAAACGTTTGGAATGAATGATACAGTTTCTTCTTAAGCAACAAATGCTAAATTTTTAATTATGAACGTTTAATTATATTATTATGGTTAATAATCTTGCAAATTTTAAAATCTTGATACTTTATACGATCTAAAGGCACGCATTCAACATCCTTCATGATTTTTAAATTTTTTTTATTGCTTAGATGGGTGGACGAGCTCAGCCCACCTGGTGTTTAATGGTTACTGGAGCCCATAGACATCTACAACGTAAATGCGCCCGCACCTTGGGATATAAGTTCTAAGATCTCGGTATAGTTACAACGGCTGCTCCACCCTTCAAACCAAAAGTCATTACAACTTCACGGCAAAAATAGGCAGGGCGGTGGTACCTACCCGTGCGGACTCACAAGAGGTCCTACCACCAGTAAGAACATACAAGATACATTCATTTCTACATGTCAGAATAGGTGTTCAGAATATACCGCATTTTAATATTATACAGTACAATCAATGACACTCCCTGAAAATTTTCAAAACTCAGTATACCAGATAATTTTGTAATTTTCATCTTAAGTTTATACTTACATTTTTCTTTACATAACAGATATTATTAAATTATTATTTATAAAAAGAAAGTGTGTGTTGCCTTCTACCAAAATTCAATTAAATAAATCATACTGTCTGGATTTATAAGTCAGAATTACATTCACTGATGTGCCAACTTTTTTTTTCCTACTTATGCTGATAGCCTTGAGAGTCTATTTCAGCTTCGCCCTAACATGTAGGTGAGCTCACGGGGCTCAAACCGAAGTGTCGCTAACACTGGCCCTAGCAAGAGCAGTGGTTCGCAGAATCTACCACCGGACCCAGTGAGAAGATCCGGCGAGAAACTCAGAGGGCTGTGTCTATGGGTTAATTCGCTAGTCGAGCCCGACGGTTCACGTCCGAGGTTCGACGAGGGCGGCGGCCAGTGTTTGTGGTACCTAAAAGCACCGTTAATGGATCGGGAGGATCCGTAAGGACGTGTCGTGTCAAAAATGCTATAACTTACTCTATTTGGATTTTCACCAAGCCCCATTACATTTTGTGCAGACTAAAATCATATATATATATTTAAAGGTATTACTGTAATAAAATAAAAATTTAGAAGCAAAATACAAGGCATAAAGAATATTTAACATTTATATCCCTTTACTACATTTTGTTTTTATTTATATACCACCTGACCCTAGATTCTAGTACTTAAATATAAGCCTTATAATTAAGAACACATGAGAGCCACAGTAAAAATGTAGTTCTTAATTTAAAAATAAGAAAAAAAATGCTTATTTATATTATTATATCGTACATAAAACAAGATTATGATGAAGTGTAACAATTTCTATGACATGATATCTCCATTCATGATGGAATGATCCCGTGATTCCCCCGCAGTCGTGATATGGCTGATATAGTGATGTAGTAGTTGAAGAACCAGAATAATCCAAAAAGTATTCCAAATACTATATCTGTGTGTTTGTTAAGGAAATTTTGTTTGTTTTTTTAAAATTCTGTTGGTATAAAATATATTTTTTATTTGTTTTTATTGCCCTTGTTGGCCGATGAACATATTGCCCACCTGATGGTGAGTGGTTACCATCGTCAATGGACTCCATAAATGCCAGGGGCAAAGCCAAAGCCCCTGTCTGATAAAAAATATTGATTCATTATGGATTTTTTTATAGTTAGACTGGTATATGTTTTTACTTTATTTTTGAATGCACTTGATGGATGGAAAATTTATAGCCAAACTTGAGGTTGAAGTCATAATTTTTCTAAATAAAGCTGCTGTTTGATTTTTGTAGCATTATTGTATTTCTACATTGCGGAAGTTAGCACCTAACTTACAACAAATTGTTAATATCAGGAAATCAATAAGAGGATAGATATGGGTGTACGATAAATTACTGAAGAATTATTTAAAACAATGAATTCACAGCAAAATCTATTTTATGATTTCTGAACATAACTTTATTTTGATTCTCGACTTTCTATCGTCTGCAAAAAGACTACTACTAAGTATGTTATTTGCTCATGTATCCTCATTGATTCATTCCTAGTTTTACATATGCATGAGGTTCATATGCAGATAGCATTTACATTCATTATCATTTACAAGGGCATAACTTTGCAACATTGAAATTAAGAAACATTTGATTTCTTATGAGAGTCATGTAAGTCATTAAAAAAAATCACTTAGTTAATAAATTTTACAAAGCTAGGACATGTATTAGCTTTTGATAGGTATTAACCCCTAGGGTGCAATAAACTAATTGATTACTGGCCTCTACCCTCTACCTTAGTTTTAATATGGAATATAAAGAATTGGAAGTCATGAAGAACTCATACACTCAAAAACTTTATTCTACATTTCATATTCTGGAATGATTTAATGTAACAAAGGGTTTTTTCCTCTTGTTAATTCTAGTACACTACCATTAAAAGTACTTATTCATCAAACCTAGCTAAGCTGGGAGATGACCATTATCATTCAGTTTTTCGAAACCTTTAAGTAATACCATTAATAAATGTGATTACTTCTATCCTCCTGAGTACATGTCTATCACAGAGTGAGAATTTTCCTAACCTAATTTTGAAAAGTTTTTGTATTGTAAATGATGGTATTGTTTTTTTTTACTAAAAAAAGGATACGAATAACTATTCTTTCCCAGGTTTCCACCATGTATAATTCAGTCGCCAATAGGTATCGAATGTACCAATAACTGATGAATTTCTTTACTTTCTCGATTAAATCCATTTTCTTAATTCACGAAAAGTGTTTAGATATTGTTTTGGTTTGACCAGTATGGCACTTTTGAGTTGTAAATAGTTCGAAATTTTTGCCTAAGCTGCTGACTCTAGTTTTACGATTTTAGGAAATTATAGAAAATTCAAAAATGTAGGTAATCTAGACTTCACTCACTGCAAAACGAACAAAACTTATTATTAATTGTCATTGTCACTCAAACATGAATATCAATGTCAAACCAGTAATTGTTTGAAAATATATGGCCTCGTAACGAGACCTTTAAGCCAAGTCTTCTTTTCCTAAATTTAATTATTATTAAGAAAAATGTGATGAAGTTAATTAATTTGAGACTTTAATTGGTTGAGATAACTTTAAATCAAATGAGACAAGATGGTATGAAATAATTTTTCGGTCATATGGCGGCTATTTCCTGAGATTTTTTGAGTGAAATTTTTGGAAGAGCCCTCGATGATAGATCTAGCTGCTTTGTTTCATTTTCTCACAAGCGTGCACTCTCATAGATGCTAAACAATTAGCAAACTAGCGTTTCGGTTTGAAGGGTGGGGCAGCCGTTGTAACTATACTGAGACCTTAGAACTTATATCTCAAGGTGGGTGGCGCATTTACGTTGTGAATGTCTATGGGCTCTAGTAACCACTTAACAGCAGGTGGGCTGCAAGCTCGTCCACCCATCTAAGCAATAAAAAAAGGTTGAGGAGAGCGGCTAATTGAGAAAGGGAAATGGAAAGGGGATTTAGGAGATGCCATCGCTCTCTTTCCTCTCTCTTCAATCGATCCCTCATTGCTGAGGATCGTGACTCCGTTTGATTCCCTCAACCAGCTGTCTCCATCGACCCCGTTCTGTAACTTGGTAGAGTGCGTCGCTGACAGGTATTTTTAGGTCCTCCGCTATTTGGTCCAACCATTGTTTGGGATCTCTACTCTTAAGCCTAAGCCAAAGCCTCTTTCGATGTTACCAGTCACCAGAAGGCGTCCCAAATTGCTGGTATCCCTGCGTGCAATCTCTCTCTTTTACAACTGCTTAATAATATATCCGTAAACGAACACACGTTTAATCCGATGTTAGGTAGTTAGTATTTAGTGATTCATAGTTTAAAAAAGGCAAGTTCTTTGTCTAGACAAAATTATCCTGCTTTTATCTTCTCTCATTAATTTATTTCTTCAAAAACTGTTTAAACACAAAACAAGTCGTTTAAAAATGTTACAAAGTACTATAATCTTTTAAGCTATTGCATAGCTTTTATCGCGGGCTTTGAGCGCGGCGACCGAATCAAGAAATTCTGTAACGAAAATAAAACCCAACACCCCTCACTCCGCCTACTATGTAGCTCGCGTTCAACACATTCACACGTTGCGCTGGTGTAGTGTTTGTGAATAAGCGCGCAGCGTGACGTCGCACTGCATGCGCGTCATGAAAAGTCTGCCCATATCGCTCTCGCGCGCGCAGTCACCCCGCGGCAACACCCCTACTCTGCCTAGGTTTTGACCCCAGGCTGAGATCGAACATCGGGTGAGAGAGTACAAGGGGAGTCGTTTGGTAGGTAGTGCCCTAAAACATCATTGGGCCTGCGGTCTGCTCTCAACATCTGCAGACCGTCAAGTCCCACATACCCCGCGCGCTCCCTAGGCGTGGGAATCTCGTAGGAGGTTCGGCCCCTGGCCAGGAAAAAAAAAGTCAGCAGTGGGCTGAAAGATAGATATTGAGATATGACATCTCCCAACTGACATTCCTTGAATTTAGAAACTGGGTTTCAGCGAGAATTTTCCCAGTTTTGTAGACATCAATAAAACGAAGGCTGTTTTATATTTGAATGCTACTCAAATAATTCATTTCTATTTTTGCGTATTTGGTAAAAAGGAACTTGCCTATATATAAAATAAATTCAATTTCAGTTATGCCTCTTTCATTTTTACCTAAATGAAACAACTGTATTTATATATTACTAATTTTATTCTCACGATGATTAATAATGATAATGTGACCTTATCGAATAAAATAAAGTTGGTATCAGGCGTTTCAACTAAAACTATGTTACAATGTTGCAAGCTACAAAAAAAATAATCGATATTTTTACACTGGTACGACATTCTGTAAATCATCACATTTTAGTAGGTACTTAAACCACAAAATAATTAAAAGTACATGCATATTGGTATAATCTGAATAGCATTAAATTACAAAAATAATTAATGATAATTAAAACAGGCAAATTAACTAATAAAGTTTCGAGTTAAAGTAACTAGAGTTGCCATTTTTAAAATTATAAAATTCCTAAATTGTAATTCAATTTAAATACAACGTAAATTTTCATGATGCAATAGGATGGTTAAAACGACAATGTAAAGTTGCCTTTTATAAATAAATACAATAAAATGGTAACATTACATAAAGCGTTGATTTAATTAAGCAACGATCGTTTAAAAGTTCAGCAAACATAAATCTACAAACATACAGATTTTTAGAAACATTTATTTATATAATGATTCCTTTATAGATTTATAAATATAAATCAATATAGTTAATTTTTTATTTATTTGTTTTAAAAATATTTATTTAAAAAATTATATCATTGTTGTATAAATACATAGATTACTACATATATCTGTATTTATTATTTTGAAACACTTTTATTTTGTACCGGCAAAGGGTTTTTTATTTTATCACAACTACGACTACATTTGACAAACATTTTCATTCATGTTGTCTACGTTCATTTTTGTTCAGTCTTATTAGAAGGCACCTATGAATCCGATTATTTACTAAAATACGTGTTATATAAAAAATAGTTATACATAATGTAATGTATATAATATATATGAAAAGTCGGCGAACTTTACCGACTAAATGTTTGATCAATACATGTCTTAATAAAATATTGTACTAAATGTTTTGAATTAAACTTTGTAAGCGGTTTAAGAGTTATATGAAATATGTATTTCGCAACGACATCTTGTTTTTTTTAAATTTATTTCTGTCGTATAAGAATCCAGATCCAATGCGACTTTAAGATTCACATATAAAAATATACGTTCCCACGTTATTTGTACAATATAATTGGCACGATTGTTTTGTGTGTAAATATATATAAATATATATAAATTTATGTGTTTTATATAAAATGTACTTATTTAAAAAAAATACTGATTCGTTTGTCTGTTTGTTTAGAAACCTATACATTTTACCCACTTACGCACTTAATGTGTACTCACGAGAATGCATTAACACATTATAATTACATTAAGACTATATTCGTTCAGGAATCAAACAAACATAAGGCGCTTTTTCTTAAACACCCACTACACAATTGGAAAATTTGTATCGATATAATGCAACACCGTAGTGTTGCTACATATTCAAACACAAATGCATTAATTGACGTATTGTAAAAATTTAAGTCGTTTTCGAAATTGACAAAACTTTATTTTAATTCAATTCTATTGTTCTGTCGCTTTCAGAACAGTCCCTAAAAAAATAATCGGTGACCAAAAAGTACCGAAATGATCGTACAGCACGTTTGACAGACGTCAGATTTGACATCTGTCAATCGATGGTCGCTGTCACTCGAGGTACTCGGTGTATCCCTGGGCGCCGGTGAATAGCACATCGATCCATATCCGGGCCGCTTCCCCGGACGGAGCCATTAAGTAGTACCGTCTTTGTCTAGTTTTGACTATGAACGTCGTCTGTGGGTTCGGCGATTTCGACGTGTTGCCGTGATCTAAATATACTTCTTCTATCACCTGTATCGAAGACATAGGGATACTTAGTAAGTAGTATTCGGAACAGTGGAGACAAACACCCGTGTGCTTACTGCGAGTTTTTTAACGTTCTCGATAGCGTAAAAGTTAACTCAAATTTGTATGGAGTTAGAACAGTGCCCCTAGCGGCAAATCTAGGCAAACGTTCCAACTCCATACTAATTTGAGTTGTTGACTTTTACGCTATCGAGAACGTTAAAAAGCTCGCACTAAGCACACAGGTCGAGGACTTAGAATCGGCTATCTCGACGAGACCTCAACGTGTAGTTGCTTCCCGACAGAAGCACGTAGTCTGGTACTTGACATGACTGCAACCTGTACTACAACACTACAAGATAGGGGTGTTGGGTAGTAAAATAAGAATACTAATCCGGACAATGGACGAATTGTCGCATACCTAATATTTCGAGAAACGCAAGATCTTGTGAGGAGGCTTGTGGAGTGTTCTTAACGGTAGGCAGCAGGTTGGCTCTGGTCCTGGCATTGCTGATGTCCATGAGCGACGGTAACCACTCGGCACTCACCATCAGGTGGGCAGTATGCTCGTCTCCTTCCAATAAAAATAGAACCTACTACTATTACAACTACTACGACTACGATTACTACTGCTACTACCACCATGACTACTACTAGTAAGTACAATTACTACTACGATTACTACTGCTGTTACTACCACGTCTACTATTACTACTGCAATTATTACAACTACTACTCCACGACTACTACTACAACGATTATTACAACGACTACTTCCACGATTACGATTACTACGATTACTACAACTACTACTCCCACGACTACTACTATAACGACTACCTACGACGACTATACGACTATAGGACTACTGGCATATAATACTATATGCGGTAGGCAGCGGCTTGGCTCTGCCCCTGGCATTGCTGAAGTGCATGGGCGACGGTAACCACTCACCATCAGGTGGGCCGTATGCTCGATAAAAGTACCAACAGAACTACTACTACTACTACCACCACAACAACAACAACTACTACTACTACTACTACAATACATGATACTGACTTGGAAATAAGCACCGCCCCTGGGTTTCTTCTCACTCTTGTCCCAGTAGTATACGAAGGTTTTCGTTTCTCTATCGAAAACGAACCATCTGGAAGACGGAAACACATAAAAACTTAATGATCCATTACTCCATGAAATTATGATTGTTTAATATTTTAGTTTTGGTCATTACTATTTCAATTTAAGCCATATAACCCTGACTCGTAACAACAGTCTCGTAATGAATTGAACTGACATATAAGCTTTAGCCTTGTGAGTCCGCGCGGGTAGGTACCACCACGCCGCCTATTTCTGCCGTGACGCACTAATGCGTTTCGGTTTGAAGGGCAGGGCGGCCGTTGTACTGTAAAAACTGAGACTTAGAACTCATGTTTCAAGGTCCTGATGTCCATGGGCTCTGGTATTTAACACCAAATACGCTACCAATGATGAGCTCGTCCATTTATCTGAGCAAAAAAAATTAAAGTACCAAGAGACCATGAGATGCAATAGGAAATATTTTCAGGAAACATTTCGTTTTGGTAATACCTAAGTTTTCTATTTGCTTTGTTGGCATACCAGCACAAGAATAGACCTTTATCACACAGCTTCAAATAGTTCAATTTCCTAGTCTTCATTTACACCGAATTCGAACAGACATCATTCGGATAGTGAGCTTATAAAGTAGATTTTCCCAAAACCAGTTTTCACTGTCATTACTAAAATCGAGGGTAGGTAGGTATTCTCCGTAGAAAGGTGACTGACCTTTTGGACCACGTGTGAAACTTGGCGCCCAGTTTATGTAAATACCCGCGGCACGAACTCGAAGTCACGCTCACGTAGGGGCAGAGTTCGACTTGGTGGCCTGGAACAACGAAAACTGATCTCTAAAACTAGAGTTATAAAGTCGATTTTGCGATATCACAATGCAGAAAATTGACCTACCGTATTGTTTTAACTATTTGACCATTTATAGGATTTCCTGAAGCAATTGAATTGCAGTTTGGTATTCTTGGTTTTTAAATATGAAAAGCTATTCAAACTGTAATTAGCTTACAGAGACCTCTTTGATATTATTGGATGTCTCAAAGCAATACAGTGGCAGGAAGATACTGGAAGGATGTAATACCACGTCAGCCCGCCAGCCACCGAACAGTGACGAAGCGAGCCTCTAATTCAAGATCTCAACTCCAAGTTGGCGCACCACAAACCATGTCCAAAGTTATGATGGTATAACTCAATAGATCTGTTCTCATGTCGCAATTTTTTTTGTCCTGCCTATTCTAGTCCAGCCTCGAGGGGTTATTCTAGAATCATCGAACTAGTAGGTGGGCTCACGGGGCTTAAGCCTGACGACGTTGCTAACATGAACTCTAGCAAGAGTCGTGCTTCGCAGAATCTACCACCGGATCGGAAACGCGACCCACTGAGAAGATCCGGCGAGAAACTCAGTGGGCTGTGTCTGTGGGTTAATTCACTCGTCGAGCCCTTCGTCGCAAGCGACGGGTTCGACGAGAACGGTGACCGGTGCTTGAGGTACCTAGAAGCACCGTTAATGGATCGAGAGGATCCGAAACGACGTGTTTTGGGCGACGTCGACTGTTTACCATTCGGTCCGCAGGATCGGGAATGAGTCGCAATCTTGTCGACTCCTATGTACAAATTTGAAACAGCTAAGAAGCTGCCGCTGGCGACGCATCCCTCCAGACCTATATCGGCGCATTATCTTGTTACTAGTGATAATACGTTACCAGCAGACTCGACGTGTCTCCGCAGATCGAAGTCTTCCCTGTCGACGGGCAGGTACCGCGTGAGGGGCCTCTGTGACTCGCTGTAGGGTGCGATGCCGCGTCGGCTGCGGCGTGGCGCGTTGCTAAGCGACACTAGAAACAGGACGATCCAGGTTTTTTTTTCTTCACTATCACGACATAGTATAAAACAAAGTCGCTTTCTCTGTCCCTATATCCCCATCTATGCTTAAATCTTTAAAACTACGCAACGGATTTTGATGCGTTTTTTTTTAATAGATAGAGTGATTGCAGAGGAAGGTTTATATGTATAATAACATCCATTAAAGTGTTATAGGAAACGCGTTATAAGAGTATTCTCGCATAATTCTCGTAAATTTTACAATTCAAAAACTAGGAACACAAATTTAATAAATTAATTTTATTTTATAACAACACAATTGAAACAATGTACAGAGATATGCGAAATTAATTACATGAACTATAAAAATCTTTATAAATTTCACAGTACGCAAATATATCGAGTAAAGCTTCCGCGTTTTAAGGGGGAACACCAGTGTTATACGCGGGACTGAAATCGCGTAATATAAAAATGCGTTATAAGATTACCATGTTATAAGAGGGATTACTGTAATAGTAATGATAATGTTGAAGCCCACTATCTTTTTCATTCCATTATCCGGTACCAATTCTAAAAAAACTGGCACGTAACACAATTATAATTATGATATATACCCACCCACTGAAATAAATTGACGCATCGTTTTCGTGTTTTTTTTTTATTTTGGCAATTTATCATTTCGAAATTTGGCAGTTGGCAACACCACAATAAAACGAATGACGTAATTAAACGTCAGGTGGATCTATCGAGCTGAACTTCTATTTACAATCTGCTGGAATTTTTAAACGAAACCCAGTGGTGATTTACCTTTTTATGTTCATTTTATTACTCGTGTTTTGGTTTTTATTATTTTTTCGAGAGGAAATGGGAGTTTGTGTTCTTTTTTTTTTTTACAGAAATATTTACTATTTATATGTTTAATTTTTTGATTTTTAACATGTCGCGTTAATCGAAATAAAAAATACACATTTATTACACGACTAGCGACCCGCCCTCGCTTCGCTTCGGAAACATTAAAACAGACATGAAACAAAAAAAAAAAAAAAATTTTTTTAAAAAAAGTAGCCTATATTCATCAGGGACAATGTCGGCTTCTAATGGAAAAAGAATTTTTCAAATCCGTCCAGTAGTTTCGGAGCCTATTCGAAACAAACAAACAAACAAATCTTTCCTCTTTATAATATTAGTATAGATATAGATATAGATTAAAATCACACAATAATCTTTTGTAGTTAAACATCGGGTAACAGAGAACTCAAGCGAAAACTGGAAAGTCTTTGGGGAAATTATTTCTAAAAGTGGCAATAAGGTGCGAAATTTTTGTGTGTCAACTTTAAATTTAGGAGAAGGTGTTGGAAATATTGTCAGGATTTTCAGTACTAAATCATGATTCCTCATTTAATATACGTAACTGCACAAATAGCCGGTAATGTAAAATTTAACAAGGAAATTTAAGAGTATTAATTAGCCTGCCCAATGCCAATCTCCCAGAAGATACAAAAAGTTGATGAGAAATAAAGGAGTGGACACAATAATACGTTTCTAATAGAGTGGTCTTTTAATTTGGGACGAGGTGGTTCATGTTGTTTAAAAGAAATGCAATCAATGGATTAAATGTGGAAGCAATTTGTGGCGAATGTCTATTTATTTTCCAACATTTTCAATTATAATACAGCCGCCTAACTTTTCAATTTCTTGGTCGCAAGACGAGCAACCCACTTGGATAAAAACTCACGTTGATATACGAAATAAATGATCTGCCAAGATATAGATTTATTCAGTATACGTTAACAATTACATTATTATCTATTCAATCCTATGCATTTCATGTTTTAATTTAATCTATTAGATCCATTTTTTATCGAAATGACTTATACGAAAACGTCATCAGAATATCACATAGTGTAGGGACCAAAAGTCTTTTAGGGTCTGATGTATGTTTGAAACAAATGAGGGTACTTACAAATATTGTCCCTACTGAAGTCAGACGCATGGCTGAGCGGGCGACTGTCATCGCTGCGTTTGTCTTCCTCAGTTGATTCGGTGCGAGAATTTCTGACTTGCAACTGCGAACAAATAATTTGGTATACTCGTTGATAATTAACAGCGGATAGCCAATTATCAAACAAACAAATATGGGGATAATTTGATGATTTGTCGTCACGATTTAGGGCTGTATCATTAGGCTCTGGTAACTTATAAAACCATATACTAAACCGATAACTCTTTGATAACTAATAGTGGATAGCCAATTATCAAACAAACAAATATGTGGAGAATTTGGTGATTTGTCGTCACGATTTAGGGCTGTATCATTAGGCTCTGGTAACTTATAAACCCATATACTAAACCGATAACTCTTTGATAACTAATAGTGGATAGCTAATTATCAAACAAACAAATAGGTGGAGAAATTGGTGATTTGTCGTCACGATTTAGGGCTGTATCATTAGATTGATTCTGGTAACTTATAAAGCAATATACTAAACAGATAAGTTCGTTTAAATACAGGACGAAGACGATGGCGTCACCTTAAATCGGCCAAGTGCAATTATTTCTACCTATTCTTCGGTAGCCTATGGGGCTATTGCAGCCACGCAAAGACGGATAGGTGAGCTCAGGGGCTCAACATGAGAGAGTTTGCTAATATTAGCCCTAACAAGGGCAATGCTTCGCAGAATCTACCATCGGATCGGAGTTGCGACCCACTGAGATCCTACAAGAGCCAAGTATAATGTTTTAGAGACCACACATAGAGACGGGTTCATATTTACGATAGGTATCATCATTTTATGCAGTTTAGATAATTGTAAGTAATTATATCACAGGGTACTTCGTGCGAGTTTTTTAACGTTCTCGATAGCGTAAAAGTTAGCTCATCTTTGTATGGAACGGGATCGTTTGCGTACGTTTGCCGCTAGAGGCGCTGTTCCAACTGCATACAAAATTGGGTTAACTTTTACGCTATCGAGGACGTTAAGAAACTCGCACTAAGCACACTGAACGTTGCTATTACGTCAAAACTTCACCAAAATACAAGTAAGTATTTTAAAACATATTTTGATAGATCTCTCTAAATTATTAATAGTCATGGATCAACGAAATATAAATACTTTTTAGACCCTTTGCAGGCAGACGAGCACACGGTCCAAACCGATGGTGTGCGTGGTTACCATCGCTCAGAATTCATCCTGTTAAAAAACGATTGGCTGGTAGATATCGTTTTTGGCGACCGGCTGTTTTGCAAATCATACTTGCTTGTTGACTGATTTCCAATGTTTATGTGTGTAATAAAGTATACTCTCTCTCTCTCTCCCTTTCCTCTCTCCATCTCTCCCTTTCTCTCTCTCTGTCTCTCCCTTTCTCTCTCTCTGTCTCTCCCTTTCTCTCTCTCTCTCGCTAGACTAACAAAAGTCAAATGTTTGCAAAAGGAAGGTGATCGTTCCATTTTTTCCCCACCTGTATTAAAATTTCTTGTAAATTACAAACGATACATAATACTTACAAGTACCGGCTTAGGAGTGCAGCTGATGCCCCAATGCGAACTCTTTATCAGAGTCAACCAGACAGACATAGTGTTACTACATTTATCAGTTTAAAGTATCTAGTTCACTATCTATATATTAATACGTGAAGCAAAAACTTTGTATCCCTTTTTACGAAAATTGCGCGGACGGAGGAGTATCAAATTTTCTACACTTATACAGAATATAGAGAAGAAGTGCACAATGCTAATATTTTTTTTAAATAATGCCTAAAAGATACATTAAATCAATAAAGAAAACATGACACACACTACATAACATGTATTTGACGCACACACGCATGCATACTATTTATTGATGATTTACTGTCAAACTTTTGTTCTTGACGTCTGTGGTCAAATTGAGAATAGATTAAATATTGTTTGTCTTTTTTTATAGTGAAGTCTTGGCGAAATTTGTGATTATAGAAGTATAAAATACAATCATAATAGTGTACAAACTTACAATTCCAATTAATTATAGTCGAATTTTGACTACTGCGGGACCTCTAGTAAATTTTAATTCATTACTGATTATCATTATTTTTGATTTGTTATTTGGTATGGTTCATGTAGAAAAGCATATTATTCGTACAATGTTGAGAAATATTTAACAGATATTACAGATGCTATTAATTGGTGGCAGGACATCTTGTTAGTCCGCATGGGTAGGTACCACCGCTCTGCCTATTTCTGCCGTGAAACAGTAATGCGTTTCGGTTTGAAGGATGGAGCAGCCGTTGTAACTTTACTGAGACCTTAGAACTTGCATCTCAAGGTGGGTGGCACGTTTGCATTGTAGATGTTTCTGGGCTCCAGTAACCACTTAACACCAGGTGGGCTGCGAGATCGTCCACCCGCCTAAGAAAGAAAAAAAAATCTTAAGACTAATTAGAATTGTTTTCCTGTAATAACGAACTAAGATCATCACTATTGGCGAACTTTTACATAACACTAATGCATTACGTATCCAAGTCGGTAGCGTTAGTAGACGTTGTGTTAAAATTAGAATCGTTTAAAACGATATGAACTACGCAAATTCTTTGGATATTTCTTCTTTGAATTTGAAAGAACATCAACGTTTTTATAGATCACAATTTAAAGCTATTATAAGACAGTCAGGTACTACGCCAAGCTTGTCGTTAGGGCCACCTGAGTACAAAGCACCGTCCAGTCTATTTCTGCCGCTGTGCAGCTAAGCTTCGAGTTTGAAGAGTGTGTAATATACATATCGACCTCATTACTCAAGATTTGGGTGTTAGGTTACGTTTCCAGCAGAGATGCGTGAGGAATTAGACTGGTACATGGAGAAGAAGCTACCAAAAGTACTTCTTTCTATAGTCACACTGCGGTAACGGGAGGGGGAGAGCAGAAAGTATTTGGAAGGCCAAAGTAATCGAAAAAGGAATAGCTATATTACCGACTAGCCCTACTCGCCCGCTTCGCTACGCATTTAAAATATTATCATTATTATTAGGGAGTCCAACACTCATATAAATATTAGCCTATCCATTAAGTACATGTATTTTCTACACGGATACCAAGTTTCAAGTCAATCGGATGCACGGTTCAGTAGTTATAACGGAACATCCGTAAAAATCACTGTAGATTTATATATTAGTATAGATTCATAATTTTGGCATGCCACTAATATAATGTAATCGTTTCGTTTTGATCGAAATAAATGATCTAATAATTGAATATCATTTATTACTGAGCTGTAGAAAAATATAATACTAATGAATGTTGGCGCGAGCATAAATAGATCATTTAAATTTTTTACTATTAGAGTAGCTGGGAGGGGATTTGTTCAAAGTAACTTACTTACTGGTGGTAGGACCTCTTGTGAGTCCGCACGGATAGGCACCACCACTCTGCCTATTTCTGCCGTGACGCAGTAATGCGTTTCGGTTTGAAGGGTGGGGCAGACGTTGTAATTATACTGGGACCTTAGAACTCATATCTCGAGGTGGGTGGCGGCATTTACGTTGTAGATGTCTATGGGCTCCAGTGACCACTTAACACCAGGTGGGCCGTGAGCTCGTCCACCCATCTAAGCAATAAATAAAAAAAAGGGTGCGTGTACTTATGTACGCGCGTAAGAAGTTATACTTTATTTTTATTAAATTTATTTCCTTTTTTTTTATTTTTATTTTAATCAATTTGAAAAAAAATCGATCGAAATTCGAAAAAATCGATAAAGAAAAGGGATGTCCAATATGCGTGTTTGAGGATGTTAAACACGCATATTGGACATCCCTTTTCTTGACATCGTATAAATTCGGTAATTCTCGGTACGGTTCGGAAAGTTCACCTGCGGCTATATTCAGACTCGCTAAGTTACGTCGGTCGTATTGTAATGAGCGATTTAGTGGGCAACTTCATTCTGTTAATTTTGTGTCACGGTGCGCACGCATCGGAAAATTTTACTCTCATCAATTTTTCATAACGCGCCTAAAGAAGTATAACTTCAAAAAGAAAAGCGCTATGCCACCCTTCTTCAGATCAGGTTTGAGTCCCAACGGTAGACATCTACAACGTAAATACGCCACCCACCTTGACACATAAGTTCTAAGGTCTCAAGTACCTATAGTTACATCCTTACCTACCTAATCGTAAATTTCGATTCTATGAACATTTTTACGAGCGTATTTTAATAGTGTTCTGAACTTTTCAATACGGATACGTGCAATTATCTCAAAATAGTCGGTAATGTATTTTATATTCTCGTAATCGTTCATAAATTAATTGAGTGTACTACTCACTTATAAATGTCTTCGTTGACACACAGTCTGTTGTGTTTGCCAAGTCTATTTTTTAGAAGATAGATAGAAAAAAAAAAAGAGTCATTTGAGAAACGGATATGTTTAAAAGAAAATATTCTGTTGGTTGTTTAGGATTTTTGATAAAAAAAAAATATTCGCGGGTAGATTATGATTTGCAAGTCCGGTTTATTTTACTATTTGATTTGTTCTTTGAATTTAACTTTAGTTTAAAAATCTTACTTGGAATACAGGATATGTGTGTAAATAAATTTTATTTTTATAAGTTGTTCATTTAAGATACCGTTTGGGAGATGATTTTTAATATTCTAAGTACCAATATTTCGCGTCTGATCTTACAATACTCTCCAAACTTAGTACTTATGATTCGGATTCGAGATTATCTGACCGTATAGTTTATATTATCCTACACTGACGATGGGACCCCCGGTATTTAACTATATTACCATGCAATACACTTTTGTTGTGATAGGTACACCAATATAATAACGCTGACATAGCCTTTCAAGGCTATCAGCATAGTCAGGAAAAACTATCTATCAAAAAAGTTAATTAGAAACTTTGAAATTTGAACTAAAATACAATAGACGGATTTATCGCGGAAAGCGGTCTTTTGCGGTCAACCTTTCCTTTGAATGGAGATTATTTTAGAAATTGGAGAGCTTAGAGTAATTCGAGGACATCATAAAATTACTTATACTGATCTTATCAGCTACGCGGCACATATAAGCAGCTTCCTGGCTGAGCCCTTGCTTGCCCA